TTGTTATTTTTAAATGTCTGAAATTTTAAAAATAAGCATAAAATTTGGGAAGTGGGGGGAATTACCCTATTATTTCTAACTCATGTACTATACTTTCCCTTTCCAATCTGTTCCTCTGTGCATAAATAAATAACATCACATTGTAATAATTTTCATTGTTTTCCTCTTAACATTACAATTTCAGCATTTCCTATAACATTACTACTTAAGCGCTTACAATGACTACTTTTAATTTGAGGGAATTCTTTTGAGGGAATAGGTATTTTCTTTAATAGTCCAACAATTAAGACCTCTAATAAACAGTGCTTCAGTGGGCATCTTTGTATATCTTTTTTTCTACATTGTGGATTCTAATTTTGATATAAATTTCCACAGGTGAAATTGCTGGATCAAATGACCATTTATAGAAGACTAAAAACACTTTGCTGTTATTCTTTTAAACTGCTAGTGAGATAGTGGGAGCTTGATAAAAGTGACTCATTTCAAACAGTTACATTTCTTTGAGCCTGAGTATTTTTAGATTACTAACCCTCTTTCCTTGCCCCCCTCCCACAACTAATTGAGGGAGCTTGAGTCTCTCTTTCCCACTATCTACTCCTTTAGATGTGCTGTTTCAACCTAAGATCCTGGGCACCAAGAGGTCAGTGAGAGTGGTGGGGTGTCTTTAAGCTTTTCAATATTTTACCAGCCTAACAAAAATCATACATAAACTCACAATGAGGCTCAAGTGAGTGAGCTTAGAAGCACAGTCTCGGGACTTCCCTGGCGGTCCAGTGGTTAAGACATTGTGCACTCAAAGCAGGGGGCCTGGGCTCGATCTCTGTTTGAGGACGTAAGACCCCACATGCCGCACAGCATGGCCTAAAAAAAAGAAGTATAACATCTGGCCCCAGTCAATCCTGGTGATGACTACAACCCAGCTAACAGTTCACTGGCCATCTGAGGCCCTGAACCAGAGCTCCACTGATCTGCTGTCACGTTCCTCACAGATTATGTGAGATAATAAATGTTTTTTGTTTTAGCTGTTGAGTTTTAGAGTAATTTGTTATGCTGCAATAGATAACTAATACAGACTTTGGAAATGGGATATGGCCTTAACAGAAACATAAAATGTGGACAAAAAGATGTGAACGAGTACTTCAAGAAAGAAGATGTCTAAGTGATCAATGAGCAGATGAAAAGAAGTTTATCCTTAGTTGTCAGGACATATCACACTAAAACCATTATTAAATAACTTTACACACATACCAGAAAGGCTGAAATGAGATTGACAATCTAAGTGTTGGTGAGGATATGGGGTAATGGGGACTATCATGCATCACTGGCAGGAGTCTGAAATGGTGCAGTCACTTTGTAAAATTAAAAAAGTTCATATAAACCTACCCCTATTAACCCAGAAAGTACACTCTTGGGTTTAGAGCAAGAGAAATGATTGGATACATTAAAAAAAAAAAGTACATAAATATCCCTTAGCAGCTTCATTCACTACAGACCTAAACTGCAAATAACCCAAATATTTATCAGTAGGAGAATATATAACAAATTGTGATATATCCAGCAAATGAAATATTACCCAGCAATAAAATAAGTGAAATAGATATATACATACATACATATATATCAATTTGGATGAATCTCAAAAACATCATTTCAAGCAAAAGTAGTACACACAATATGATTCCATTTATTTAATATTCAAAAGCAGGTAAAACAAGTCTACAGTGATAAAAATGAGAATAGTCATTACCTCAGGATTGGTAAGTTGTATTGACTGGAAGACAGGAGGGAATTCTCTGGGGTGATAGAAATATTCCACATTTTGATATGGATGGTCAGACAAAGATAAACATCAACTCTTCTATACATACATCTTAGCCCATCTGGGGCTAACAAGGCACCAGATACTCGGCAGCTTATATTGGGTTGGCCAAAAAGTTCGTTTGGGTGTTTGGTCCACTGCTACAGACAACCCAAATGAATGTTTTGGCCAACCCAATTATTAATGGGAATTTATTTCTCACAGTTCTGGAGGCTGGATGTCTGTGATCAGAGTAAAACAGGGCAAGTACACTCTTCTGGATTACAGGCTCCTTGGTGCATCCTCACAAGGAAGAAGGTGGCCAGGGAACTGTTCCGGACCTCGTGTGTGTGTGTGTGTGTGTGTGTGTGTGTGTGTGTGCAGTCGCTCAGTGATGCCAGCTCTTTGTGACTCCATGGACTGTAGCCCACCAGGCTACCCTGTCCATGGAATTTCCCAGGCAAGAATCCTGGGTTGCCATTTCTTCCACCAGGGGATCTTTTTGACCCAGGGATTGAACCCACATTTCTTGTGTCTCCCGCACTGGCAGGCAGATTCTTGGACCTCTTTTATAAGTTAAATATCTGCCTTCATGATCTAAGCACTTCCCAAAGGCTCCACCTTCTAGTACAATCACCTTGGGAATTATTTTAACATATGTGTTCTGGGGGGTGGGGGGAGATATATTCAGACCATAGCAGTACATAAAAAAATTCATAAAATTATATTCTTATGATTTGTTAATTTTACTACCTAAACGTAAATTACAGTTCAATTATATATTGTTAAAAAAAAAAAGCCTAAGTCCTTTCTATGGCCTATAAATTTCCAGGGATGGTGTCTTTGGCTCCCTGTTTGAGTTTATCCCTTGATACCCTTCCCCTTATTCACTCCCAAACCCACTGGCTTTCTTCTTGTTCCTCTAACACATCAAGTACATTGCCACCTCTGGGCCTTTGCATCAACTCTTCTATCTATAATCTCTGTCCTCAAATAACCTCTCAATTATCATCCTTCACTTTGTTCAGGTCTCTGATTGTCACAGTCACGTTTCTCTGGAAAACAGAGTTGCAGGCAAGGACTGCTTTATTTGGGAGATACAATCCAACATAGCTGGTCACTCCATGTATTAGTTTCCTAGAGCTGCTGTAACAAAGCACCACAAACTGGACCCTGTAAAACAGAAGAAATAGATTGTTTCACAGTTCTGAAGGCTAATCATCCAAAATCAAGGATGTTGGCAGGGCCACCAGCCATCTAAAACTTGTAAGGGAGATCCTTTCTTGCCTCTTCTAGTTTCAGGTGTTGGCTGGCAATCCTTGATGTTCTTGTCTTATAGATGCATCATTCCAATTTCTGATTTCACCAGCACATGACCATATTCTGTGCATCTCTGTCTTTTCTTCTTCTTACATAGACATCAGTTGCAATGGAATGGGATCCACCCTAATAACCTCAGCTTGACTTGACTACATCTTCAAAGACCCTATTTCCAAATAAGGTCACATCCATGGGAGACTTCACATATCTTTTTGGAGAACATGATCCAGTCCATAGCACCCAGTAAGCAGGCTTGATCACACAGGCTTGACCACACAGATTGACTCTAGATTGGCTGTATGGCAAAACCGTGCATCCAAACAATCCATCAGAGGGAGCAAGGGAGCGGGCTTATCTGCCTGGTATCCTCCAGTTTCCTGTCTGCCACTGGTCAAAGTTCATCCAGGGGAACTAAAGGCTCTGCGTTTCTGGATGGCATCATTTGGCCCCACTGGCAGATGCTCAAGAAACAAGGCCCTGCAGTTTGGCTTTTCAGCTGAGTTTGGGGAGAGCAGCCAGATGTTCTAGGCCTGTGGCTGGGAAACCATGGGCTGTGGGAGCCGAGGAGAAGCAACTGGCTGAGGATGAGACAGGTGGTGGGTAGATGGGTCCCAGGCTCTGCTCAAATGTCACCTGGTCAGGGAGTTCTTCTCTGACTGCTGTATACCAAAGAGAAGTCCTATCTCCATCTCAGTATTCCTTTATTTTACTTAATTATTCTTCATAGCATTTCTTTCCACTGGTCAGACGACATATTTATGTGCTTATTTGCTTCGCTCTCATGTTACCCACTGTAATTGCGCTCAGGAGAGCAGGACATTTGTTTGCTCTCCACTCTTCCCCCACGGCCTAGCACAGTGTTTGGCACATGGCAGGGACTCCATATATATTGACTGAATTGAACGACTAGGTGAATTGATGGGTGTAAAAAATGAAAAAGCCTCCATTTATCTCTCCAGTCTGTTGCAGGGTTACGGAGTGGGTGGGCAGGGGGGCGATCTTGGCACAGACAGGCCCGTTGTGAGCAGGTCAGGGCCGAGGTCCATCTGAAGGGAAGGCTCCATTTCCAGTGTTTAAATAGTGCAGCTCCTGGTGGAGGTGAGGAGCTATGGGAATAAGGGCAGGGAGGCCTCTGGGTCATCAGGCAGGAAGGCAGACAGAGCTGAAACCTCCCTGGTGTGAATGTGGAGAGGGGACGGCGTGTGGCGCCTCTGCCCTGCAGGTCATGGTGGGTAAAGAACCACGTCTTTACTTCTTGACCTCTTTCTCAACCTGCTGAGTTATTTTCTGTTTCTGGAAGTGACTGATACTTTTAATCCAGAAATGCTGGTAAAAATCTTCTTTACTTGTATAGCACTGCCAATTTTTGGCGTGAATATTGGTGCCACCTAAGCAGAAGAGCTCTACTCATCATCAGGCTATTGCCCAGTTAAGATGTGACGTGTACTGCTTTTAATGATAATGACAATTCTCTGTTTTATTTCTGTCAAGTTCCACGTGCTCTTGGTTTAATGTCACCAATAAGATTTTTAGTCACAGTCTCTCTTTCCTGTTCTTATTTTCTCTGTGGAATCTACTATATAAGTAATCTGGTTTTGAAATCTGAAGGAGCCCATACTGGATTACAGACGAAGAAGAAATTACAACAAAATAGGTGACTGTAATTCATTCAAAATCATTTTTAATGGTTATTTTCTCTATTAATATGATAATGCATATAATAACAAAGGTAGAAATAGTCCAAGCTGAACAATGTACCACACTCCGCTCACACATTATCAGAGAGCAATAGCAGCTCGTTAATTCACAAAGATAGTTACATTCCACTAGAAAATAGGCCTAAGATGAATGCAGTGATATGGTGACATTTTCCTCACCCCGAATTATTTGTCCAAGTTCCTTAGCGTTACTTCACCACTCACCTTCAGGGAGTGGCATACAGAACACTTTCACATAGAAAGGGGCTCTCCTTTGGCACACGTGGAATGTTGCACCTGTGCTGCACAGTTTGTAAGGTTAGTCCTTATACCTAGTTTGGATCTCAGTGATGTGCGTAGCAGTGATTTTTGCTGGTCTTGGTTCCAGAGGAAAAGTCTATTCTGGAAAGGTGGCCAGTTGGAGCATTCACGGTTTTTCACAGCTCTCTCCCACTAGGCAGGAAGCTCTTCTGTTGAATGAAATAACACAACAATGCCAGTCTTCTACATAGAAGTAAGTATGTTTCTCTAGTAGACAATTTTACTTCTGGAGCAGAAGATTTTTCTTCTTTTAGGACTTGCTTCCATAACTAAGTCACAAATTTTAACTGAATAATTTTGGAGACAGATGGTTCTTTTTAACTGTGCCTCTTGACTGTATACTTTATCTTTCTATGAAGTGTGCGTTGTGTTAGACGCTCAGTCGTGTCTGACTCTTTGCAACCCCATGGACTGCAGCCTATCCGGCTCCTCAGTTCATGGAATTTTCCAGGCAAGAATACTGGAGTGAGTAGCCATCCCTTCTCCATGGGGTCTTCCCAACCCAGGGATCAAACCTAGGTTTCCTGCATTACAGGTAGATTTTTTTTTTAAAACCATTTGAGCAATCAGGGAAGCCTGAAAAGCAGGTCCACTTGTAGCAGAAGTGGGGTTCAAACCCACAAGTATATAAATCCATTGGATCTTAAGGCCAATGCCTTAACCACTCTGCCTGGTACCTGCATCCTTCTGTGAAACAAGGGCCTAGAACCATATATAGACTCTTTACAGGAAGTGTAACCATTGCCAACTTAAACTTTTACATTGATCCTTTATGAATCTGGAAATTGAAGGCAGATAATCCCAAGCTTATTTTTTCTTGATTTCATAATATTTTAAAGTTTGCTTTAATTCCAGTGCCCCCCCAAATTCACACAAAGAAATGTAGTAGTACATAGTTTAGTAATGTAAATATTTGGGTCATTTGTGATTTTGCCTTATGGATACAATTTTTTAAAAATAATATTTGTTACTGTAAAAAGTTTAGTCACTTTCCTATCCCCACTTATTGCTGTCTTGAGACTTTAATCCAAATATACTCCCCACCAAATTCACAAATCTTCAAAGTTTTAAATCAAAACCACAAAGTTCTTTATTTTAACCCACAAGTTGGGGCCTTCCTGATCAGATATTTTAAATTACACATTTATTCTTTAGAAAACTCAGGGGACCAGTGAGCCGTACTTTCCTAATGAGTGTGGTATTCCTTACAACTCCCACATGGACAGCCTTGCCTGGAAAAGGCAATTGTCTTGGTTGAATAGGCATTAATGTTGAAGGTATGAAAAAAGGAAGTTGACTTGATTCAGTTTTCACTGGCCTATCCAGATGCTAAATTCAAATTTCATCTGAGGCATATAATAGATATGAAATTCCAAAGTAAGGTGCCAAGATACAGAATTTCAATCAAATAACAAAGACCAGTTTCATGAGGCTAAACACCTCACCCAAAGAAGTAAATGAAAGTGTCTAGAAGTGGAAACAGAGGGAGGATTCCATGAGGAGTATTTTCTTGATGAGAGCTGTGCTGTGATTCCCATCAAAGGATCAAGGGTAGGGAAGGAAGGGCTTCAATAGGCCACCCATGAACAGTTCCCTACAGCTGGGGGTCAGTGGGGGTGGGGACAGGGGACTGATGTCTGACTTGACTCTAGCCCTGGAAGTCTTAAAGATCAGGAGAGAGGGACTGGTGAGCATCTTTGGCAATGGTGAAGAGTGCTGTCATTAGGATTGGTCTGCATTCAATTTATTGGAGCAAAGTGGGCATGAGTGTTTCTATTGACCAGCTGTGGGCCACACAAGAGAGAACCATCCTATAGCCACTTTAAGTCCTTCTCAGAGGACACCTGGGATGTGAGTGGAGGATAAACTGGGACTCCTAGAGAGAAAGGGAGTTTGGAGGGGGCCTTAGGAGAGCCAGGTCTGAATGGGGAGTTAGGTTTGTCACCAAATGAGTGACATCTGCTCATGTTGAAAGAGCCAGCAAGGAGGCTGCCCAAGAATACATGAAAGCATCTGAAAGACACCTTTGTCAGTCCCAGAAAATGTGATGACATCTTACAGCTATCCCAGCCAGGTAACTGTTCCTTTCTTCTCCTCCCCTCCTTACTCCTCTGTTCCTAGAAGAGTAAAAGCCAGCAGGTATTAAGTAGGAGCAGAGATGAGCAAGGAAAGAAGAAGCTGACCACACCCTCCTTCCTGAAGGCTGGACACCTGCTTCTGACCAGCTCTAGATGGTGGAGGAGGATAGAATTCTTATCTTTGAATAGATTGAGTGATAGTTGCTCAGTCATGCCTGACTCTTTGCAACCCCATGGACTGTAGCCTGCCAAGTTAGTAATACATTGGTTTGGATATTGTAATAGAAAGACTAATGCTTTATATTACCTATAAGGGAGGGAAAAAATTATATCCAGTGATAAGGATAGAATTACCCTCATTGAGCAAGTTTAAAGGGACAGTGTTCCATGTCTGGTTCTAACTGTTGCTTCTTGACCTGCATACAGATTTCTCAGGAGGCAGGTAAGGTGATCTGGTATTTCCATCTCTTTAAGAATTTTCCACAGTTTGTTGTGATCCACAAAATCAAAGGTTTTGGCATAGTCAATAAAGCAGAAGTAGATGTTTTTCTGCAACTCTTGCATTTTTTATGATTCAGTGGATGTTGGCAATTTGATCTCTGATTCCTCTGCCTTTTCTAAATCCAGCTGAACAACTGGAAGTTCTTGGTTCAGGTACTGTAGAAGTCTCACTTGGAGAATTTTAAAGACTACTTTGCTAGCATGTGAGATGAATGCAACTGTGTGATAGGTTGAACATTCTTTGGCATTGCCTTTCTTTGGGATTGGAATGAAAACTGACCTTTTCCAGTCCTGTGGCCACTGCTGAGTTTTCCAAATTTGCTGACATATTGAGTGCAGCACTTTCACAGCATCATCTTTTAGGATTTGAAATA